ATTTGAGCATCGAATAACATACTGATGTGTTTCTACTCCTGACTTGCTATATGGGAATTATTACTATTCTTCCTTCTACTAATAACAGTAAGTTCATAAACGATATGTTCTGCTGATTTCTAGCGATTCCTAGCAATACCTAGGTATCTGAAAATATGAACAGCTTTCAATATTGATTTATTTTCTGCAGCATGCTAATAATAAAACAAAATTTACTCATATAAGGATTGGGATCAAGAATGCTTTGAAATTCAAGACAGCGTGTAAACTGCTGCAAAGGATCTTTTTAATTGAGCTCAAACAATTTTTGATAGCTTTTGGATCTTAAAATTCTAGCTACTGTCACATTCTGCAAATGTTTCTTTCTGTGGATTGAAAAAAAGAAAAAAAAAAAAGGGGCCGTCAAACTTGAGTAGAAATACCTTAAGCCCACTACTGAGGAGTCAACTTTAACTCATAGCAACCTTACAGGATAGAGTAGAACTGCCCTATAGGGTTTCCAAGGCTGAAATCTTTATGGAAGCAGACTGCCACATCTTTCTCCCATGGAACATGGCTTGTAGGTTTTGAACTGCTGACTTTTTTTGGTTAGCAGCCAAGCGCTTTAACCACTGTACCACCAGGGCTCCCAGAAATACCTTAAATAAGACAAACAGCTAAGACAAAGACCCAGTTTTCTGTTTCTTTGATGTGCATGGTAAAACACTTCACTTGGACTCCCACCCTACACAATTCAGTTGGCCCCCTACTGGGAAACCACAAAGGTTTAGTAAATTGTTCCTGCTCATAATCTCCAATGGAGGTTTTTCAGATAAAGTACATCAAATGGCATGACTTCAGGTAAAAAATGGAATCTTCAAACTTGAGACTCAGAAATCAACTTTGATGTGACTTTGCTCAACACATCATCCCCTACTTGAATACCTTCAACAATATCTCCAACAAATGGTTGTTGCTTGAATATCCCCAGTGATGGTAAACTCACTTACACAGAAAATGGTCCATCTAAACTGTTAAACAACTCTTGTTGAAAGAAAATTCTTCTTACTGATGAACTAAAACTTCCTCCTTAAAACTTCACACATCTGGTCTTGATTCCATTCCCTGACAACACATAAAACAAGGCAGCTCCCTCTTCTACTGGAGAACACCTTGAAGATGTGAAAACTATTAATGTAGGGTACCGTGCCCCACATGTCTCTACTTCTGGCTTAAACATGTTCGTTACTTTCAACCATTTTTCCAAAGACTTGTGTTGAGGCATATTCACAAGTTAGGGTTGCAGAAACCTGATGCTACAGAGGCCTAATGTTAATCAAACAGAACTGGAGTGGACTACGCCAGACAGAAAACATTTAACTCTGCCTCCTTCCTGATTCTCCACTAGGGATCTGACCTTTTCTCCACAGCCAGATGACTTTGTGCTGAAATAATGATTTTGCTGTTGTTCTCTTTTTGGCCAGCTAAAGAACCAAAAATAGCTCTACAAGGTTTTGGTGGTATCTTCCTTTGGGGCCAGTTTAGCCACCTTGGAGTGAGGATTTAGACAAAAGTAAAGAATGTAGATTCATTAGTCAAAATCTAGGTGAT